CTGAATGAATGAATGGACATGTCTTAAACTCCTACTTACCTCCAATACTCCCTCTGTCTTTACCTGCCTCCTGACAACTTACAACTTTAAGGACCTGGGAATTCCCCAGCCTTCAACTGCCATGCCAGTAGCGGTGCCGTGGTCTGGAGCGGTGTGCTCTGACTCAGAGGTGCTGGGTGTCTTGTCTGGCTCAGAACTTGAGTCCGTAACAAAGATTCTCATTACCGAACTTTGTTCTCAGTGAGGGCAAGTGGGTCATCATTGCCAGACAACGGCCAACCAACCCCTCAACTGAGAAGGGCTGAGTGAGCTCAGGGCCCAAAAGCTGAAGGCTCTGAGAAGCACCAGACGCTGGGCGCACTGCCTAGCACAAACACAACTGTAGCACACCCTGCCTGTGGGTTTGTTCTGCTTCCTGGGCCCCGTGGTGTGTGCGGTGCTCACTGGACCCACGCGGTGACTTTGTCGAGAAGCTGTGGGCCTCTTCAGGTGATTTCTCTGTCAGTTCCCCACTCAAAGCGCCTACGTGTTCTCATTTCCGTTCCTTTTCCCCGTCTAACCCTTCTTTAGCCTTGCCTTCTCCTGCAAAGCCGGCCTTCGGGGATTCTGGGGAGGGTGAGAGGCCCTTCTCCCATCCTGACCACTGCTCACCACCATTGCTCTTCCCCACCAGACTACACTCTGTGGGCAGGAATCAGGTCTTAGTCATCTCTGTGCTGATGAAGTCTGGCACAGAGTGGGCTTCAGGCCAATGTGCCAGGCTATGTATGCACCATGCTGGGCAGGCCCCTGTTCAACAGATGTTGGTGGGATCAAAAAACAGGAGGAAGGAGGGATAAAAGAAATGAGGTAAGCAGGTTGGTTTACTGAACTCACAAACTGATTTCCTAGAGATCAGGAATGGAAATACTTCAAAAAACATAGCTTAAGACTCTCCTATCAGTGTGGTTATTGATAAGGGAAGGCTGGCAAATGCGTAAGGACTATGATGGCTCCACATAAAAGAAGAACAGAATACAGGATGGATGGGGGTCAGTGACAGCTCTTCACAAACAGCAGGGCACCCACCCTTCTTTGTGTTTCAGAAAGCAGCAAGGCCTTGCACACCTTCTCTGAGACCCTGCCCGGCCTGGCCTACCTTATGCATGACGATCTTCCGCTGGCCTGGCTCTGCCACGTCAATCATCTTCTGGACCACGTAGTTGGCATACTGGTCCTTCATCATAGTGTATAAGGCACTGTGGGGACCGTCGTTCATGGTGCACACCTCGTCGATGAGCACAGCACGCTCCGTACGTGAGGCATGAGTAACACACTTCTCCACAACATTGCTGTCACAAGATAAAACCAGGGACAACTCTTAGAAGAGGAGCCCTATTAGTGAGGCTGTGCTTGCCTAGCCTCTGCCTTGACCTCAGGACCAGCAGGAAGACAGAGCTAGCATTTGTGGAAGGTGAGTTGTCAACTGTCCGACACTCTCAGTCTCTAAGGCTCTCCACCAATGCCATCGGTGGCATCCAATTGTAGGAAAGGGGGAATGTGGCTTCATTAAATCAGAGTTTTTCTCCAATCCATGGGCACTACAGAGGGTGATCAAATTATACACTGCCATGCTACTGCATCCCGATCAGCCAGAGAGACCAGGTCTTCAAGGACATGGGACCTGGCCCTCTAAACGGGCGAGAGTAAGGAGCCCAGGTAGGTGAGGAGACTTCAACGCAAGATTCAAGGGACTGGTTCACTATCCAGCAGGTTATTAGTTCAACACTTACCAACGTCTGTCCATTCTTTCCTTGCCTCTGTGAGCTCACCAAGGCCAGGAAGGAACCTTACTTATGCCTATCTCCCTGCTGCCAAGCAGACAGCTTAGCACTTACTAGAGGCTCTAGAGACTTGATTAAGGAACATGCCAGCCAGGACCACAGCCTTTGGTCAACTACTAAACACTGCCTCTCAGGAATGTAAGAACTAGAAGAACCCTAGGGACTGTCAGTATTCCTAAACATGTCACAAACATACCACCTTGGGACAGGAAAGGGGGAATGTGGTAGCAATAAATCAGAGTTTTTCTCCAATCCCCAGGGACTACAGAGGCTGGTCAAATTACACACTGCTGTGCCACTGCATACTGACCATCCAGAGTGACTACTCTGTCTGGTTTCTATAAGACAATACTACTTTACTTTGTACCTGTGGCTCTGTGGCAATGACACTGTCAAATACATATTATTTGTACTCATCATGTTGGAGCCCAGCCTGGCACCTGACAGGGAGAACCTCTGCTCAAGGGTGGCTGAGTGGCTGAAGGCTCTACAGAGTTCACAACCAGATGCAACCAGGTGAAATGTGCTGTAGCTAACAGAGTCCTCAAGTAGTAAACTTAAAAGCCTCTACTCAGCTAATGCACATCGTTCTATTACCAGTCCTGAAAATGGCCTTTAACCCCTACTTAGAAATTCCCAATAATTTGGAAGTAACCACTTTCCTTCTTTCGTTTTGAGATAGTCTTGCTGTCGCCAGGCTGGAGTGCAGTGGTGTGATCTCAGCTCACTGCAATCTCCGCCTCCCAGGTTCAAGCAATTCTCCTGCCTCAGCCTCCCAAGTAGCTGGGATTACAGGCACATGCCACGACACCCAACTAATTTTTGTATTTTTAGTAAAGAAGGGGTTTCACCACGTTGGCCTGTATCTCCTGACCTCGTGATCCACCCACCTGGGCCTCCCAAAGTGCTGGGATTACAGGCATGAGTCACTGCATCCAGCCAAGGTAATCACTTTCTAGGGCAACTCACTATAAAGCTCTGTTAAACATTCTTCCTTATATACCAAAGCAAAAACATGCTTCCCTGAAATTCCACCCATGTGTCTGAATTTTGGCATTTGGGGCGGAAAGAAAACACGGATACCTACCCAAAAAGCACATGGAGGCAGATAGGATATCTTACTCCTCCTTCTAAAGGCCAGTGCTTTGGTTATGTGAATAGTCATCATAAACGCCATTACCAGAATAATACCCTATTTCAGCGGTTTTCAAACCAAGGGAGGGTGTTGTCCAATGGACCTCTGAAAGGGCTCGCTCTCAGTGTTATCTGCTTTTACATACTAGACTTATGCAAATGCTTTTACTTAAAAGACAAAAAAAAAAAAAAAAAAATTCTCAGGCAAAAATATTTAAGAACTACCATCCTATCACACATTTCCTCAATCTTCCTTCTTAAAATAAATGGTGCATATAAAATCTGATATGCTAGATATCTAATCAGAACAATAGCTTTTCCCCTCTGATACAGAAATACGGGCAAGTATTTTTTCCCGCCTTAGCTCCAGAGTACTATGTAATTCAAGCATGGGATGAAGGTGTGGCCCTGTTGAAGAGAATCTCCTAGGAGCCACTGGCTTCTCCCTTAGCAGAAATAGGAGTTAAGTATTGTCACAAGCTGGCTGTGGTGGATCACTCCTGCAGTCCTAACACTGTGGGAGGGTGGGGTGAAAGGATAGCTTGAGCCCAGGAGACTGAGGCTGCCGTGAGCTATGGCTGCACCAATGCACTCCAGCCTGGACAACAGAGTAAGACCCTGTCTGGTAATAAAATGAAATAAAAAATTGCTGAGCTGGTTCAGAGACTATGAAGCTAATCAACATCTCCAAATGCTCAGGCAATGAGCTCATCACTTTTCACGACTGCATGGCTGAGTTGTATCTTCATCTACTTCAGACCAGCCTCTTCTACAAAACAGTCAGGATTAGGACTGTCTGCTAAAACGGGTTGGGGACAGGACATTCATTCTTGTGGGTGAAAAACTCAGTCCTCACCACTGACTTGCCTTTCAAGTAAGCAAGCGGGTAGATCACCTACTACTACAGGATCTCACTAGGCCAAAGGCTTCCACCTCAACCATAGCTGCTAAGGTCTCCATCTTTCAAGTTCATTCTAGGGTTTCTGAAACTGCAGTTACCAACCCATTTGTGGGCAATGAAATCAATATAGTGATCTGTGACCAGCTTTTGGTTTTAAATAAAACAGAATAGAAGTATCAGAGTGGATTATGGGCAATAATGTTTCAGTAATATGTGTGCATGGCACCTGTACATAGAAATTCAATATTTACTTTGTACTCTGGGTCACCGTCAAAAATGTCCAAAGGCAGGCACAGTGGCTCACGCCTGTAACCCCAGCATGTTAGAAGGCTGAGGCTGAAGGATTGCTTGAGGCCAAGAGTTCAAGACTAGCCTGGGCAACACAGCAAGATCTTCTCTACAAAAATAAAAATAGGGCCGGGCGTGGTGGCTCCCGCCTATAATCCCAGCACTTTGGGAGGCCAAGGTGGGCGGATTGCTTGAAATCAGGAGTTCGAGACCAGCCTGACCAATATGGTGAAACCCTGTCTCTACTAAAAATACAAAAATTAGCCAGGTATAATGGCAGGCACCTGTAATCCCAGGTGCTTGGGAGGCTGAGGCAAGAGAATCACTTGAACCCAGGAGGTGGAGGTTGCAGTGAGCAGAGATCACGCCATTGCACTCCAGCCCCGGTGAGAGTGAGACCCTGTCTCAAAAAATAAATAATAAATGTCTGAAAGCCACTGATTTATTTTTTTGTTTACTTCCATTTATCTATTTTCAAGTTAATTGACTTCTGTCATCTCTAATCCACTATTAAAGCCATACAGTAAATTTTATTTCAGATGTTATATTTTTCTTTTCTAAAATTTGTTTTTAAAAAAAATAAATTTATTTGAGGCCAGGCACAGTGGCTCACACCTGTAATCTCAGCACTTTGGGAGGCGTCAGATAACAAGATCAGGAGTTCAAGACTAGCCTGGCCAACATGGTAAAACCCCATCTCTACTGAAAATACAAAAAATTAGCCGGGTGTGGTAGTACGCGCCTATAATCCCAGCTACTTGGGAGGCTGAGGCAAGAGAATTGTTTGAACCCAGGAGTGGGCGGTTGCAGTGAGCAGAGATTGCACCACTGTACTCCATCCTGGGTGACAGAGCGAGGCAGAGTCTCACTCTGTCACCCAAGCTGGAGTGCACTGGCGTGATCTTGGCTCACTGCAACCTCCACCTCCCAGGTTCAAGTGATTCTCCTGCCTTAGCCTCCCAAGCACCTAAGATTACAGACGCCCGCCACAACACCTGAGTATTTAATTTTTTTATTTTTTATCTTTTTCTGAGATGGAGTTTCGCTCTTGTTACCCAGGCTGGAGTGCAATGGCGCGATCTCGGCTCATCACAACCTCCGCCTCCTGGGTTCAGGCAATTCTCCTGCCTCAGCCTCTTGAGTAGCTGGGACTACAGGCACGCGCCACCATGCCCAGCTGATTTTTTGTATTTTTAGTAGAGACGGGGTTTCACCATGTTGACCAGGATGGTCTTGATCTCTTGACCTCGTGATCCACCCGCCTTGGCCTCCCAAAGTGCTGGAATTACAGGCGTGAGCCACCGCGCCCGGCCCACCTGAGTATTTTTAAAGAGCTGCTGTATAATCCTTCTCTATTAATCCCAATAACTGGGTCATTTTAGAACCATTCGTTGATTTTTATTTCTTTTTTCTTGAGTATAGGTCACATTTTCCTGTTATCCAGATAGACACTGCAAATAATAGGCTATAGAAACTCAGAATTCTGTTATGTTCCACCAAAGAGAAGTGCCCCCCACTCCCCTTACGGTGCAGTTAGCTTGGTTATAGTCAAACTACAAACTTCTCTCACACGGTAAGCAGCAGCTAAAATCTCAGTTCAACTTTTAGCCTTAGCTGGACGTGTGGTTCAGGGGTCAGCCAGACTTTGGGGCAGGTTAAAAGTGGGCCTCCCCCAACCCCCACTGGCCCTCTCCCTTTCTAGGATTTCTCTTCGTCATGCCTGCCCTGAGGACTGCCTATTCCAGCTTTAGCTGCCCAGCATGGAGAAAACTGGGAAATGGCCACAAGGCTAACGGCCATCAGAAATAAGAAATTTCCCCAGTGCAATTCTCTTCTTCTGAAATACCCACCTCCCGGGTATCCACCTGCCCTTAGCTTACTCTCTAGTGTCTTCAGGTAGTTCTTGTATTTTCATCCCCAGTTTATACATGCTATCAATGGGAGGACTGGGCCCACAGTAGCTCCTCAGTTATTAATTGTAATTGTTGTAGCTGGGCATGGTGGTATGCACCTATAGTCTCAGCTACTTAGGGGGCTGACGTGGGAGGACTGCTTGAGCCCAGGAATCCTAGGCTGCAGTGAGCTAGGACTGTGCCACTGTACTCCAGCCAGAGCAACAGAGATTGTCTCTTAATAAAAAAATTTAAAAATCTATTTCTGAATTTGTTGTAATATTAATTAATGCTTAGGCTAAATCTAAGGGTGAGAAATTAAGTACTGTGAACAAAAATGTAAACAGAAGACTGACCTGAAGAAGAAGAGCCCAAGAGATTCTGACCTCTCTCAGTCCAGGAAACTGGTCAAAAGGACCCCCCAAAAACAAAACTATGTAAGATCTTAAGAGATAACCCTGATATGGTCAGGCTATGGAGACACTGGATCTACAGGTACTTTCATTTCTTTTCTCTATTCTTCCTGGCTGTGACACGTTATAAAATTTCACAAATTTAAAATGAACGAGGCCATGTACTGGTGGCTCATTCCTGTAATCCCAGCACTTTGGAAGGCCAACATCAGAGGATTAAGTCCAGAAATTCAAGACCAACCTGGCCAACACAACAAAACCCTCACTATACAAAAATACAAAAAGTAGCTGGGTGTGGTGGTGTATGCTGGCAGTCCCAGCTACCTGAGAGCCTGAGGTGGGAGGATTGCGTATTCCTGGGAAGCGGGGGTTGCAGTGAGCCAAGATTGCACCACTGCACTCAAGCCTGAGCAACAGAGCATGACCCTGTCTCAAAAAAATAAAATAAAATAAAATGAACAAATTAAAAACATTAAGGTTGTATGTGTCCTGTCCTGCCTTGCAGTTTATTCTAAAAACCAGGGAAGATTATCTTCCAAAAATAAAAAGTAGTATGTTATGTGGGCAGTAGGACATACAGTATCTTCTCAGAAGACCATACCACTATCCCCATGGAAGGGCCATCAATTCCCTCTCTAACCTCTGCTACTTATAAGTGACATCAGACACCTTTCACAACCTGGGAATAACCACTGCATTTCATTCTTGAGCTTGAACAATATAAAGACTGGAGAAGAGATACTAAGGCCTATACGTAAATATACAGATGGTAAACTGCCTTTCAGGTGCCAAAAAGGGAAACTGGGCAAACAACATTTTGCAATTCCAAACAAACAATAAAAAATAAAATAAAATCAATTGATCAAAGTGTAACACTTACATTCTTTAGTAATGTATTCCCCAGATTTCAAAGTGGCTGGCTCTAGCAGAGTAAGAAGCCCACTCAGGTACGGACCTCTTAGAGTTTCTACTTTGTAATAGAACTATTTGACTTTTTAAGCTATATACACTTTGAGGGAAAAAAATTAAAAAAACAAGAGAATTATAGCTCAATACTATGAATCCTCTCTTCTGCGAAACAGTCCTCCTAACTCAGAGCACATACCTTGCAAATTTGTGCTGACTCAATACAAGTACATTGCCTCGGATTTCTGCTACAATTTTGCTTTTATCCTCAGGACGACCATGCTCCAATACGTGTTGGATTACATAATTTCCATATTGATCCTGTTTGAAAAACAGTAAGAGACATAAAATGCATACAAAAGCTAGTTCTGTGGGTTACTTAAGTCCTTATATCTAATTAACACCTATCTTTCTTTTAGCACCATAATGGCTTATATGAAGACTAATAAACACACAATTTTTTAAACAGGTTGTAACATTTTTCTCTATTATTACAAAACAGGAATGTATTATTACTAGACAACAGAATATACATATTCATTTTTAAAAGGGGAGGGAGTGTTATGGGAATAAATATTCATTTTTCTCAAACACACTACAAATGGTTTACTGCACCTATTTATAACAGAGAAAAACTGGAAATATTTGTGTTCAACAAAAAACGAGGGCATACCTAATTATTTAATCAGTGGTATAAGCAGAGCTATACCACTAAAAACAAGAAATCAAAAAATCAACTTATTTCATTTAACAATTATGAAACAGAGACCTAGAGGGATTGTCTACCTAAGGTGACACCATGAGTGCATGACAGAGTTCTGGAAGCTAGGTCTCCTGACTCCAGGGCTAAGGCTCAATTCACTACCCATATTCATAAAACACAAACCAAGCTGCTCTGAATGAAAATACAACCTAAAGATTTAAGGGTATTTCAAACACCTTAACCTCATCTGGAGCCTACGCTAACAAAACACACAAACTCTGGACCTGGATGAGCCCGCAGGTGTTTGCATTCCTCTACTGCCAACTCTACTACCTGTACAAGTTGTTCTGTGTGCTGGTGAAGCTCTTCTAAAATGGGGAGTGTCTGGTCAGGGAGACAGTGCTCCAGGATTCTCTGAATCACTCGGCAGCCATAAGGGTGTGTGGACAAGGCAAACACCTAGGGCAGACAAACGAAAATGAGAAGCAAAAATGACAGTCATCACCTTCAATGCTTCACTATTGTTTATATGTCTGTATTATCCCACTTCTCTTCACAAATGGATTTAATGGCATTTTAGTTTTCTCTAAATATAATACGGTATGTGTATGTGTAAATAAACCCACTAATTATCTATTTAAGCAATTCATAGATATGCATAAATGCAGAGCTGAAAAGGACTTTTCCCAGCTGCCAAGAAAGTAACACATGACTAGTCAAAGTCATGAAAACACAGTTAAGAGTCAAGAGTGTCGGCCGGAAACGGTGGCTCACGCCTGTGATCCCAGCACTTTGGGAGGCCATGGCGGGCAGATCACGAGGTTGAGATCGAGACCATCCTGGCCAACATGGTGAAACCCTGTCTCTACTAAAAGATTTACAAAAATCAGCTGGGCATGGTGGCACACGCCTGTAGTCCCAGCTACTCGGGAGGCTGCGGCAGGAGAACTGCTTGAACCAGGGAGTCGGAAGTTGAGCTACTGCACTCCAGCCTGGTGACAGAATGAGACTCCGTCTCAAAAAAAAAAAAAAAAAAAAAAAAAAGAGTGAAGCATGTCAACTGACAGCCTCTCCAAAAGACAGCATTAAAAACAGAAAGGGGAAGGACTGGGACCAAATCCTGAATGCTTTCACACGACCAGAACAACCACAATGCAATGTTTTGATTTAACTGTGGTGTTTTTCAGCAATAAGAAAAGATTCTTTTGCTGGGTTTAGAGCAATAGGAAAGCACACCACCCTTGATTCCGCTCTTCTGTGCTGAATGGCATACACTCCAGAACTGTAATCAAGAACAATAAGAATAATAACAGTAGCTAACACTTACTGGGGGCTTGCCACATGTAAGTCATCACACCCAGTGCTTATGTATGATTTTGTTTTGTTTGGGAGACAAGGTCTCACTCTGCCACCCAGGCTGGAGTGCAATGGTGATCACAGCTCACTGCTGCCTTGAGCTCTTGCACTCAAGTCATCCTCCTGCCTCACATTCCCAAACTGTTGGGAGTACAAGCACTCATCACCACATCTGGCTGCTTTAAGAAAAATGTTTTTGTGTAGAGATTGAGACTCACTATGTTGCCCAGGCTGCTCCTGCACTCCTGGCCTTAAGTAATCCTCACACCTTGGCCCTCCAGAGTGCTAGGATTATAGGTGCAAGCCACTGTGCCTAGCCTTATGGGTGACTTTATACATGTAGCTTTATGTTTACAACTGTAAACACAAATAGTATATCGTATAGTTTTGCTTGAGTTTAGCTTTATAAAAATACTACACTTGTAGTCTGGAGCAACTTGATTAATTTCACTCAACATTATGATTCCCATTTCATCTACAATACTGTGAGTTTCTGTAGTTTATTCTACATGGTATACAGGAAGAAATTAGCTAAGTATATGAGATTTTGTTTTTTTCCTTTGAGATGGAGCTTCGCTCTTGTTGCCCAGGCTGGAGTACAATAGCACCATCTCAGCTCACTGCAACCTCCATCTCCCTGGTTCAAGCAATTCTCCTGCCTCAGCCTCCCAAGTAGCTGGGATTACAGGTGCCCACCACCATGCCCAGCTTTTTGTATTTCTAGTAGAGACAGAGTTTCACCATGTTGGCCAGGCAGGTCTCAAACTCCTGACCTCAGGTGACCCACCTGCCTCGGCCTCCGAAAGTGCTGGGATTACAGGGGTGAGCAACCGCACCCGGCTGAGTATATGACATTTTTAAAAAATGCAATCCCCTGCTCATGGTCATCTGGGTTGCTCCAGTCTTTTAATAGAATAATGGTGTTTTAAACATGTCTAAATAGGTCCTGTAGTATACATGTACAGATATTTCAACAGGATCACAGAAACTATAAAGGCTGAAATTTGAAAGACAATGCTAAATTATTTTCCAAAATGGTTGTGTCAGTATCTATTCCCACCAGTGTACCCGACTCCTGCCAGCACATAGCAACTGATGGGTAAAAATGGTCTATCATTTGTGGGTTAATTTTGCATTTTCCTTGTTCCTAATGGAACTGAGTACCTTTTCACATCTACTGGCAATTTGTGTTTCTTCTATTAAATGTCAATTTGTGTTCTGGGCCCACTTTTACATCATGTTGTATTGTTTGACTTCATTACAGAGAGGTTCTTTATACACTCTAGTTACCAATTCTTTGAGAGTTGCATCTTGAAAATATTCTCATTTTGGCCGGGCGCGGTGGCTCAAGCCCGTAATCCCAGCACTTTGGGAGGCCGAGGCGGGTGGATCACGAGGTCGAGATCGAGACCATCCTGGTCAACATGGTGAAACCCCGCCTCTACTAAAAATACAAAAAATTAGCTGGGCATGGTGGTGCGTGCCTGTAATCCCAGCTACTCAGGAGGCTGAGGCAGGAGAATTGCCTGAACCCAGGAGGCGGAGGTTGTGGTGAGCCGAGATCGCGCCATTGCACTCCAGCCTGCGTAACATGAGTGAAACTCCGTCTCAAAAAAAAAAAAAAAAAAAAATTCTCATTTTACCTTTTTTGTTGTATACTTCCACAAATGTAACATCTTAATGTTACGGTAAACAGATCTACCCTTTTTTCATTAAGTCAGAAACTCCCAATAACCATGTGGGTTGCTGTCAGTAACTTACCATCATGGTCACCAAACAAGCAGCAAAACCTTAAGATTACTAAATCCCTTATCAATCCACACTTAGCAGTGCAGTGATACCTGAAAATCTATGTGCTTTTTCTCATTTTTCCCCCTTCCTAAAGAAAGGCCAATCTCACACACCCAAAAGGGTGAGTTTTACTGTTCTGTCCCACCCACCTTAGGAAACTATAAGGACTTTGTGTTTTAGGGGGAAAAAAACTGACTACAGCCAATTCAGAGGCAATTCTGGAAAAACAAAGGTATTTACATATATAAGTAACAATTTTACTTGGAAGCTGAGGCTAAGAAGAGATTTTTGACATACGAGAAAACAGGAGAAACTAGAAGTTATTTCTGGCCATTTAACACAATTCAAACCAACCTGGTCTTCATCCTCTCCAAAAAAATTTAAGCAAGAAGCATCTTGTTATTTTAAAGACATTCACACATGACCTACATTAGTTCTGTAAATTACCTGAATTTTAAATCAAATTTAAAACCAAAGCATTGAAATATCAGGATAAATCGTACTTAACCAAGAGAAATAATTTATTCTTCAAATATGAGATTTCATCTTAACAATTCTTAC